GTCTCTGGTGAATCCTCTCACTGCCCCTGCACCTCTGGCCTGTACCCCAATTCTTTATGTATAAATAAATAAATCTTAAAGAGAGAGAGAGAAAAAAAGATGTGGCAGAGACATATAGTGGAATACAATATATAAAAGAAGGTGAAATCTTGCCATTTACAACAAATGCATAGAACTGGAGGAGATTCTGCTAAATAAGCAAAATAAACCAGAAGGAGAAAGACAACTGCTGGGTAGTTTCTGGGCATATGTGGAATATAGTGAAACAAAACAGGGTCGGGCAAAACCAAATGAAAAACAAATCCTAGAAATCTGACTGTAAAAATGGAGGCCTTAAGTATTACCTTAATTTTTAAAAGTATAAAAAAAAAATCAACAGAATATGAAACCAGCCCTTTCCTAATAAATGCTGAAGTTCTCATTATATTTGCTATGGACTGAACTGTGTCTCCCCAACTCGTACGTTGAAACTCTTCCCTCAGTGTGATGGCAATGACTGGGCCATCATTTAGTACCATGCGCCCAATAGCTAGAATTCATGAATCTGGACACCAAGCAGTGGGAGGTGACTGGCTTTACATGTAGCCTGAGCTCCACTACTCCTTTTTAGGGCCCTACAAAAAAAGAATAAATTCCTCACCAATTTCAGACTTTGGCATTTTCTTTCTACCAGGGTCTTTCACTTGCTGGATTGTAAGCTCTTTAAAGACAGGAAGCATGTCCTATTCCCTTTCAGAATACCCCTGGTTTAGCACAGATGGCCTTTTGTGAAGGTTTGCTGAATAATAATTAAGCTCAAAGGAATACAAGTATGGAAAATTTTCTATAATTGGAACAGAAATGAAGATGCAGGTAGAAGATGCAGGTAAAATAATCCATTTTATTTGGATTAGGTAAGAAGGACATTTTCCTGGTATGTCTAGTTCCTTCTTCCCTTTTCTCCTCCCCCTCCTCGTCTTCAATGTACCTACTAGCCATTAGGTCTCCTAATCCATTGTCACAGGAAATCAAAGGGAGCCAGGGAAGACAAAGATCCAGATTTTATCATTTTGCTAAGTTCCGAATAATCAGAATGGTAGAAGACTATGGGTTCTCAAACTAGAAAAGGTTCACAGTACAGGCATACCTTGTTTCATTGTACACTGCATATATTGTGGGTTCTTAATTTTTTTTTTTACATTGAAGGTTTGCAGCAAGCCTCTCAGCAACATTTCGTCCAACAGCATATGCTCACCTCCCTGTCACATTTTGATAATTCTTGCAGGTTTTGAATCTTACAAGTTATTATTATGTTAT